AAAAAAAAAAAAAAAAAATTCTCTGCACAAAAAAGTGAGAAGTTTTATTTACGTCTTGAAACTTTTGAAAAACTGTGAAGTCTTTTTCTTTCTCAATTTTATTGACCTGAGAAAGAGCTGTTTAAGTAAAGCAGTTGCCAGCACAGTTTAGAGGGTTTTGTAACATTCTTGCTTCCAATTAGAAACTGAGAGCAAAAGAGATAGAACAATGAATTTGCATTTATGACCTTAGTAATTATTACTGTTACATGTCTATTGGTAAAAAAAGCAACGCATTTCAATCTATAGTTTGAATCAAAGTTTATTTTCAACAGTCTTGCACTAACTGGCTCAAAAAAAAAACAATAACATAGTTCTAAATTACATTAATCTGTCTTTTTCGTTTAAAATTTAGGCACTGCCGTACATCTTTAAGTGCCACTTTTGTTACGATACAACTGTTTGTCGAGTTTTTTTTTTTGATAAATTTCGCATTTCTCTTCTTTGTCGTCACCTGAAAGATAGTTAAGTTTTAAAAAATTATTTCATAACGGAACCTTGTTGCTTGTTTATTTTTCAACTTCTTGTTTTGATACTTTTATTTGGTTGTGGTAAAAATAAAAATTTTTTTTAAAAACACACTTTGCATAAATTGTAGCATCTGAAAAAAGAGCAAAAAAATGCGGCTTAGATTTGTAAAAACAAGCCAGTCAATCTCTACAGTAAGCCACAAGAGGTTTGAATTAGTAGCAATAACTGAATTTTGAATAAAAAAAACTAATTCAGAATAATTTTAAAAAGTTGCTGAAGTGTTCAGTGCAGACGGTCGAGTCTCTTTTCCTCGTACATAAGCTGTTTCTTCAATGCGCAAATGTTGCTAACGATGTAAGCTTTTTGAAACTTTTTTCTTCACTTTTCTGTACTTCCTTTTTTTTTTCAATATTTTTGCTTAAAACTTCTTGTTCTAGTTTACGCTACTGTTTTCATTGGCAACACCTGAAAACTTTTATGAACTTTAAAATGCAGAGTTCAAATCCTTATGTGTTTTAAATGTATATTTAGCAGAAAAAAATCTAATTAGTCTTGCTTATCAATTACAAATTTGGTTGCTATTTCAAAAAATTATTTAACAGCAACTCGTTGAAATATATTATTTTAGCAAAGTTTGCGTAAAATATTCGTTTTCTGTTCCAATTAATTTTAAAAGCAACATTTTTCTAATCCAGCAAAAGTTATAGCAATTGATGGCATTCAATGTGGCGTTTGTACGACAAATTTTTTATTGAGTTTCTGTTGTCGACGTGTGACAT